CGGTGTCCCGTCCACGTTCCCCCAGCCGAGCCCCGGGGGAGCTGCCGCCGCGGGGGACCCCCACCCGCCCCCGGCCCGGAGGTGAGGGACGCGTCGTGGTGGCGCGTCCAGCCCTGGAGGAGCCCCCCTCGGGGGATGCTCTTCGCGGGACCGACCCCTGCTTGTAACCGAGCTCTTCCCGTGGCCGAGGCGAGCGCTGTCAGTCTGGGGCTTTACCGGAAAAAAGCCGGGGATTAACGCCTTGCCCTTCACCGCCTAACTTAGCCCAGCCTCCACCTCCAGTGGAGGAGTCTCCTTCTCCCAGGATTAGGCTTCGCGTTGCCTCTTAAGCGGGAGGAAAGGAACAACAAAAGGCTTTGCAGTAGCATGTTTTAGGGTTGGCTTGTTTGAATTTTTTTTTCCTTTGATGTTTTGTTCTTTTATTTGGGCTTATGATTCGCTTGACTTTTTTGTATGGCCCATCTTGGGCCATCGAGTGACTCCTATTGTAAAAGCGGCATAGTAGGAAGATAAAAACCCAGGACCGGGTCTCCTACAGTGAGATTTCTGTACTTTGGATATAATGTCTCTCTTGGCATGAGCCTGACCATGTGTATATGACTCAGAAATAGCAGAGGCACTGGCCCCACAAGCGCTGTTTTGCAAATGTTGTGGTAGATCAAAGGACTCCTGGGTCTTGGCTGGACCCTCACAAAGAGGGAAAAAACCCCACAGGTAAGCAAGTGTTTAGAGTAGAAGGTTGTTTTAAGTCAGCCTGACCTGAAGGTATTTTCCCCAGGAGACTCAAAGCAGTAATATGAACAGTGATTAGAGAAATCAGTGCTGTTAGCTTTGATCTCCAAGAGCATTTGAAGGACTGTAAAGTCTCCAGAAGTCCAGAAAATGGCAAACACTGCCTATTTTTAAATGGAGAGACAAAAAATCAGGGCACTAAAGAGCAACCTGAGTTGCTTCAATCCCTAGAAAGTAACAGAGCTTGTTTGTTTCCATGCTAGACTTAAGAGCACTTGTAGGTATGGGGAGAAATAATATCACGTATCTCAGCTTTAGCTCTAGCTGCAGTCTCACATGACAGTGTAAGAGAAAAGACTAGGTGAAATTATGACAGGTTGGGTGAATAACTGGAAAATTGTATTCCAAGATCTATGCAGAATCTGGTAATATTTAGTGTGAATATAATTGACCCTGAGTGAGGGTCCAGAGAGTCCACTAATTAGATCTGAAGATGCTACCAAGACAGGAGAGGCTGCGAGCATCTTGGAGCACAGAGTAAGAATTCAAAATGGCCTCAGTAAGTTGGAGAAACTGTCTGGCAATTGCAGGATGCATTTCAAAAGGAATTTTGCATCTGTTCTGTGCTTGGGCAGGAATAATCAATGGCAGAAATGCAGGATTGAGGAAGCAACTGGATAGGCAGCAGGTGTGGGAGCAAAGGCGGTGTAGCAGGTCACAAGCTGAACATGGGGGCTAGGATGTCTTACTGTTGAAAATGAGAGAAAAAAATAAGTAAATGCTCTACTGGGATAATGCTGTTTGTGAGGTACCTGTGCACCTGCAGTCTCATGCAGCCTTCACTTTGCTAGCCACACTCAGAGTCACTTTTCACAATATTTGTCATAATTATGTCAACTAAAATAAGAGACTTCAATTATGATTCCTAGAGGTAGGGTTTGGGGTAGTGTTTCTGATTCCCTGGGACAAACAAACACTTCCCCACTGCAATGCTACAAGCAGCAAGGCAGACACTGCACGTGCTTGGCCCCCTCACCACTAACTGTGCCTTTTTTACTGATTAACGACTGGAGTGACTGGTGTGGGGAACCACGGTGCCCCTACCTGACCCCTTTGCGTGTGTCCCCTGCAACCCCTACCATGGTGAAGGCACGTCACTGCATTCACCCCTGCACGGATGGAAATGAACTCGGTGCAGTCTAGCAGAGATGGAGCCTGAGGCTTGGGAAGGACGGGGAGCTGTGACCCCCCATTTCTAGCCCAGATGTCTTGGGAGATGTGGGACCTGATCCAGATGCAGTGGGCGTCTTTCCAGCCATGTCATCAAACCTCAGATCAGACGTTAAGGGCCAACTAACCATTCAGATCAGCCTGGTGTTTATGGAAGGCAGCAGGAAGAGAAGGCATAGCAGGAAAGGATCATTTACACTACATGGAGGGGGAAAACTACATTACTGGCAGCTTTTTATAAGACAAGAAGTTTCTCAGAGCTGCTTATAGGCTCCAGCTATCAGTTTCATCTAATCTATTAAGAGACTGGTGGAAGAAATCCTCTCTCCAATCCCCCCTCCCCACTCTCCCCAATTCCCTTACTCTTTTTTGAAAAAGGACATGATTAATCCTCAGCATGTGCAGCATGGTAAAGCCAGAGCCCTGTTTTCAGCCATGGGGACGTAGTCAGATCTACGTACCACCCTTTCCCTGTAGTGGATTAACAGCAGTTGATCCACACAGTCTGTTTTACCCAGCTGCCTCGGGCTCCACAACTTCATCCGTGAGTAGGAGAAAATTACCTTGGTTTAAGCACTTAGCTGGCAATCTGGTTTGCCAAATACGGTCTCCAGAGGTGTGGCTTCCAAGTCTTTTCTAAAGCCAGCAAGAATGCAATCCCTTTAGTAGCTACTGAGTTGTATTACCCCTCTCTCCCATCCCCAGTGTAGGTTTGCCATCCTCACGTTGATCCCAATACCCATGGATTTGCCCAGTCATCTCCCTCTTCCAGGAGACCCAGCTTTGACATGCATGTAAATCACTATGCGAAGACAAAGCTCTGCCCTACATAGCACAGGAGAGACGCTTCCATCAGCTCTGAATGGGACCAAGTCTTTCTTCAAATCTGTCTCCCTCAGCCACCAGCACTGGAATGGGTACTCACACGCCTTCAGCTCTGCCTGTATTTCTACATTCCTTCAGGCACAGTTCGGGTTGTACTCAGGTGGGCATGAGCATGGCTGCACATCCGTCAGGTTGAGGAGAGCTGGTTTGGCAATACCCTCATCTGCTGTGAAGTTCAGACAAGGAAGATATATGTTATCCAGTGCAGCAAACTGGGACAAAACTACCCCACCAGTGTTTTTTAAACCCGTACGTCCTGACAGTGTGAGTTTGCTCAGTGGTTTCTATCACCTGGTCACAGCTTTTCTGGTCTGGTGGGTTGGTCCCTAAAACCTAACTGCTGGCACACTTGCTGCTGTCACAGCCTTTGCTCAGTGAGGAGCTGGTACAGCACAACCACTTTTACTAGAGCTCTTTTACTCCAAGAAATCAACTCAAAGTAGCCAAAGGAGGCCCTGAAGTACATTAATGAAACTGCACTGAAACCCTGTGTGGACGCAATACCCTTTATTTATATTTATGTATAAACTACCTGAGCAGCAAAGAGAGCAGGATCAAATTGTGACTACAGGCCTTCTGCCTTTCCACAGGGATTAATGCCATTTACCTAATCCACTTTAACAGTTAATTTATATTCATTATCTTGACTCCATCCCTGGTGTATGGATAGACTTTTCTTTGATGTGCCTAAAATCAACTGTTGAATAGTACCCTGATAGCTGGGCAACAGATCACTGGGGCTATCCTCAGGTTCAGAACAAAGGGAGGAAAATAAAAGAGCTTTTAAGGCCAATCCTGTTCCTTTTATTTGACACAATTAGCTGAGCAATTCTCTGTGAAAGTATCATCCACAGCAAAGCCATCCTGCTTTACAATCTGTTTGTAATGCATTTCTGAGAAAAGAGACAGAGGCAGCATCCTGCCTTTCAGGTTAACCTTTGCAAGAGAGGGACGAGGATGGCACAGCTCTCTTGGCTTTCCAGGCTCTCTTGAGTCCCCCTCCAATATGCAGCAGGGATTTATGTACACACTGAATAGATCTTTTGGCATTTAACATTCTGGCAAGTTATGATAAATCCATGCAAGATGTAAAAACTCATGCATTTTTAATGGTGATTAGCTGTGGGGATGAAACTACAGAGAAAATGGCTGGATTTTCCATCTCTGTTAGCTTACAGTCAAAACTAGATGTTTTTGTGGATCCTGGTTTCAGATTAAGCCACATAATTGATCTCACACAGGGGTGACCTGGTGAAATACAAGGGTTTGTGTCATAGGGCAGATCAAATTAATATACTTCAAGAGCCCCTACTGGTTTTAAAACATCAGTGAGCTTACTAGAGCCACTTGTTATGAAAAAACTCCTGGGGAAGAGGAGAAGTGCAAGGCAGCACAGGCAGGGAAAGGCATGCCTGTGAGCAGCAAGCACCTACAAGTGCATCTCCTTCCACCCTCATCTTCACAAAGCCTGTTCTTGTTCACCTGGAAGGGATGTCCTTTCCAGTCCCTGAAAAAGTCTGAAGAGGGATGCAGCCGAAACGAAACCCAAGCAGCTGTGTAGCCGTCAGGAGCTGCTGTGCTCATTGCTGGCACTGCACACCTGGAACAGCTGGGCCAAGCCTGCCTGCCAGCCAGGACACAGACCATGTCGTCCTTATAACTGAAATTAATTCCCTGAAGTGCTTTCTCCTCTTCCCCAGACACAGCAAACAGCTGGAGGCTGAGATTACGGATGCTGATGCCAATT